TTCCACCAAAACCACCATCTTCGCCATTTTCTGCTACTTCAGACACCGAAACACCTGTAGTAGCTGATGATCAGCACCACCACCGACTCGAACCAGCCAACGGTGTTCCTAATCCCATTGGTGTCATTGCAGCACATCATAATGTCGTTGAGTGGCCAGCGAAAGTAATCGGATTTTGCTTTTCCTGTGCTGTTTCAGTTGCACTTCAACCGCTCCAAATTCATGCGCCATTAGTGCTCCCTTTGAGCTTCCAGTTAATCTCTCACGCCATCGTTATTGCAATCGCTTTGCTTTTTGTCTCAAATTACATTCATCCCAAGTACCCAAAGCTAGCGCAAGTGCTAGAGCATGTGGGTGTTCTATTTGGGTTCACAGCCTTCTTCTTCGCCATCACTGTACCTTTCCCACTCTACATTAAGCTCACTTACGGGACCATCTATGCTCTCTCTCTGCTCGCCATTTTTCTCTGTTACTGTATTTAACCATGCTTGTTCGGATAAGATGGACAACAGATGACCGTTGTTTCATGACTTGCAACCATTTGTTTTTTTTTTCTTCAACCGTTTAAACTCTCATTTATGTTTGGGAGGTCATCTTAGATTTGAGATTGAAAAAGTTTAGTTTAAAATTTGTGTTAAATTTTCTTTAATTTCTAATCTAAAATGTCATTTCAGTGCCGACAAACATAACATCATAATTTCGATACATTAAAACATGATGAGGGAGGTTTTAAAAGGAGTAGTGTCATTTATTAGGTAAGTGCATCTTGGAGAATCTTGAAATTGTTAGTTGGTTAAATTAGTTGAATATTCTTGTAACCAGACCCTTTATGAATATTCTTGTGTTAGTCTCAATCAAACACTTGGATACTTGTTGAAGTAGTTGAATCAAATAATTTTTGCATCTTTATCTTACATGGTCTTTGTATATACGGAGTCTATATGATGCAAACACTTGATCCAAGAAAATTCTAGAGTTGAAGCATAATTTCCTATTTTGCATGTATTCTATCACATAATGCCGAATTAGCTTTTTAAGTTCTTTTTGGTTATGGATTTAGCGGGGGAAATTGTGCAAAAGAAAAGAAACTGAAATTGAGGGCTCCATTTATTTTGACATAATATATATATATATATATTTTTAAATAAAATATTTTATTTTCATTTTTTGGTATTTGACAAAAATCTAAGTTGAAGTTGAAATCGATATCGATGTCGAGTCCATCAGATAAAATGTATAAAATAACTTGTCGAAAATTGATGAGTAAGCTATTTTTATTAAATAATAATTTTTTTTTTTTTTTTTTTTAACAACTAAACACCTAAAATAAAAAAATATATATTTTACATCTAAATTGGTTGTTAACTTAACCCAAGCATCCATTGCTTAATTCACATAGTGGTTTGAATTTGTTGACCGTTGTGCCCGCTACATACAATCGTGTCTGCATATGAGTGACTCAGTTCCACGTAACCTCCTAAAATTGTACAAATTTGGTTCACCCTTTTTTCTTATAGATTGCACTTTTTTTTTTTTTTTCTTTCTTTTTTTCTTTTTGGTAAAGTCCAAAACTCTGACAATCTAATTTAATTAAACAGGTTCACTAGTGATTAAACAGGTGGAGAGTGAAGAAAACTAGCAAGGGTGAATTACTGTAAATCAAGAAATGGTTCAAAAAACTCAAACCTATTGCATAGTTGTATTTGCAGTGTGATTCTTTTAGGGATCATACTCTCTGCTCCCTAGATTCCTCTTTAGTACAATTAAGAACTGAAGAAGAAAAAACTTGACTTATTGTTGGATTTTAATTTAATAATTCATGAAGAAATCAAGAATATTTTAATTAAATAAAAAGTAATTTAGACATCATACCTGATTGATAATTAAACCACGTTATACCTTTAGAATATTTATATAATTTTTTATAAATTCTTGCAAAACATTAGAGTGTTTACCCTCGACTGAGAGTTATCTTTTAATAGAGCTGAATAAAGGTTTTAAAACCCTTATATATAACAACAGGGGACGACTTCTCTACAAATAAACATGCATAAGTCTCATTTCCTAACATGAAAACTTAGAAATGAATGGTTAGATTTGAAGGGCACTTTTGGTAAAATTTTAGAATTGATCCAATAAAATTTTAGAGTTGAAGCGTAGTTTCCTCTTTTGCATGCCACCATGTGAATTATAACAGAATGCTGAATTGGTTTTTTTTTTTTTTTTATGTTCTTTTTGGTTCATGGATTTAGTGAGGGAAATTGTGAAAGGAAAAGAAAATGAAATTTTAAAAATACAAACTAAAAACTAATCATTTAAGCCTTTAAAGAAGAAAAAAAAAACATAAAAACAAATTTATAAAGCTCAATCCAATCCATATATTTACAAAACCCAATCCAACCCAACTCTAAATAGTTTCAATCGTTCAAAAAGCCCAAAATCCATTAACTCAAATCAAGTCCATGTCAATAAACAAGCCCACCATATAGGTTTATTTATTTATTTATTATAATTTTGGAGTACGAGCCCACATAAAAATTTTCTTATCACTAAAACCCTATCAGTCTACTTCACAGTGCACTCTTCACTTCGACGGCAATGGAGGGAACCCACTCGGCATGATGCAACGACTTGAAGATTAGCGCTCTCTCATTATGCATTGTTTGATTTTTGCTGTGTATCAGTTGGGGCATGGAAACTATTTCAATATTTTTCCAACTACTTCACCCTGATTTTAATTTCTCTCCAAAGTTATTATTGAATATATTAGATGATAATTCGTGTTGTAAGCCATGTTATATATAACTATATGAGTGAGATATTCATGCAACAATGTCCTATGATATATATATATATATTCTAAATATATCTATTTTATTTCTTGAAAAGATGAATGAGTTGCGGTGAATTTAGACTACATAAAAGTCACATGCACACCTACTTATAGAAATTTTGGACTTGAGGATTGGCATGCTGCATGTGAAAATTTTCGTGACTCCGAAACTCAAGGTGCTCAATCAATTTTATTCTATTTATATGGTAAATTTATATTTGTAGATTTAGGTATTAACAATATATTAAATTGAAGTGGACAATAGGAGCAACACCAATAAAGCAAACAGGGCAAAAAAAAAAAAAAACCAACAAATCATTGCAGTACCAAATCAACTCTTTGCAGGTTAACTCATCTAAACGAGTTTTGCTCTGTACACTTGCTTTTGATCCTTCTTTTATGTGTGATTTAGATTTTATTATTTTTACGCTTTGTTTTTACACTTATATTGTGTGACTTAGATGCAACCAGCATTAACTTAAGAATGTGTCAGAAAGCAAGATGAGCCGGTTTTAGAATTCAGTGAGGTTCTGAAGGGTTAGGAGGCAAATAATCAACTAAGTTTGATGCTATGTTTGATAGGAAGGAAGGGTTGTGAAAGGATGGAAGTGAGGAGGGGTAGAATGAGCTTTCCTTATTTGATTGAAAGGAGAAGAAGAAAAAATAAGTAAGAAGTGAGGGACGAAGCATTCTGCAATATATTTTTATCGGTCCAAAATTGGGCGGAACAGAAGAGTAACAAAGATAAAAATTATCCTATAAATTTGTACAAAAATGATCTCTTGCTCACAGTCAATCAAGAAATTTTTCTATGCCAAACATGTGATTGTTGAATATGATTAATATTTTTTTATTAACTATTTTTTTTATATATAGTTAAATCATATCCAATGATCTCTACATTTAGTGTGGAGAAAGTTTTGTTCACACGCACATCGTTAAACAAGAGATCATTTCAGTATATATATATATATAGGATTACTACTAATACTTTTTAATAAAAATGTTGTTTATGCAATTTGCTTTCTGGACATATTGCATAATTTGTATGGAAGTTTAAATTTAATTCGAGTATGTTGTTTTAGTTACTAATCATATAATTAGATGTATTTCAGCCGTTTCTAATGTATTCTTGGTTAAGAATAATTTAAATTTTTTTAAAACATATTGTAATTTTTTTAAAAATAAAATTTTTGTAATTAAATATTTATTGACTAAATATATTTTGGTTCGAAAAAAAGTTTGCTTTTTCTTGCAAGCAAATTTTTGGTAACAAAAATTATAAATTATGTTTTGAATAACAAAAATGTAAATTATTATTTACAACTAACATAAAATTAGTTGCAAAAAATATATATTTATTTATTTATTTTAAAATAATTGGTCACAGTGAATTATTTTTACTACTAAAATTTTGCTCAATTATGAAGAGTTTTTAATTTTCCACCAACAATATATTATTCGTGACCCTAAATTTATCTACCACCTTGTGACCAAATACTATTGGTTGCACAAACTAATTTTGACCAAGTTTTACATTATTTGCCAAATTTTTGCATACCATGTTTTGTGTTGAGTGAGACAGTTCGACGATTTATTAGCCCAGAAGAGATCACCAAGTTGTTCAACGGTCATATTATTTTGAAAAGAATCATTTAATCGAGAAAAAGTACAGTTCAGTATTTCTTTTACTTGTGAGAGTAATTTTAAAAATTTTATTTTTTTTAGTGGCGCTAGTAATAATCAAAATGGAAGGACTTTTCCACATCGAAAAATATTTTTTTCATGTAATTTCACTCTAGATTTATTTATAAATCGAACTCAATAAGTGTCACAACAGAATCATTTTTTACTCCTAAATGTGCCACATGATTTCATATTATTATTGTCTATTGATTACTTGTGTTTTACATTAATTGTTTATAATGGGTACTTTAAAAATGAAATTTTCATTTTAAAACTATAAAAAGCTTTCCGGGAAAAAAAAATAAAAAAAAATAATTTTCCTACCAATTGATAGTCTTGAGGTCTTTCATACAATTTGACCTTAAAAATTAATAATTGTTAGGACTAAAAAAACAAAATCACAACCTGACCACCTGTAGAGGCAATAAGCTATATAGCATGTGACTAGAAATATATATATATATATATATATATATATATATATATATTTGGAAACGCCTCTTCATGACCGTTAGATTAGATTGAAACGTAAATTTAAAAATTAAAACAAAAACAAGAAGAAGCTAAAAAAACGTTTGCTACCCAATCTCGGACGAACTAAAACCTATCAAAACCCAAGCCCAACTAAAACCCCCTCTCGATCTCTCTCTCTCCCCTCTCATACACATACACACTCTCTCTCCATCTCTTCCTCTCTAGCTTTCTCTCTCTACACCCATTATGCACAGGCAGTCTCTAGGCTCCCCAGCTGCTCTCTCTATCTCTTCCTCTCTTTCTCTCTCTACACCGATCATGCACCGGCAGTCTCTCGGCTCACCAGCTTCGAAGCTCCACAGTCATGGAGGAATCGAAGCAGTAGAAGAGAAAGATGAAGCAGACCAAGTGTGTAGGCTCACCAACAACGAAGAAGACAACAACAAGTCACAGAAAGCTCATAAATCGCCTTCGAGATCCGAAAGCTACAAATTCATACACCTCATTCCAATCCTCACCGTCATCTGTTTCCTCATCCTCTACCTCTCCTCTCACAATCCATCTCAAAATGGTAAACAAATTCATTCAACACAATCTAGTATTAGTACGGTTTAAACTACTTTTTTCAAATGATTAAATCTCAGTCGATCGTGGTAGCAAGATCACTCTATCACTTATACTAGCAAACTAATTAGTTAATTTTAATCACCTTTTAAAAAAATTAAATCTCAGTAGATAGTGGTAACAAGACAGACTCTGCGACTTACAATATTGTGTCAAACTAATTATTTCATTTTCTTTGACTTATTTTTTTTTTTCAGATTTGGCTCAGTTCAATGGCTTAAAGCGATCATCGGAGCTTATAGGTACAATATTAAGAATTGTTATGTCGAAGCTTTTGAGCGATCATTGCTTATTGTGTTTTCTCTGTTGTTGTTTTTTGTGTTGCGTAGATTCAACAGATATTGATGATGTTGGAAGATTTTTGGAGATCAAGAAAGGGGGTGTTTTGGCGATTCGGGGCCTGAGGAAGTTGCAGGAGATCAGTAGATATGGTCCGGCAAATCGGCGACACCGAAAAATCAGCAATTTTTAGTCAGCATTTGCGGATTCACTATGCCTGTCTCTAGTTATGCGTCTGTCTCTCTAGCTCTATGTTATGAGTTCTCAGAGGTACAGCTTCCGTCGGTGGAGTTGGCACGTGCGAACTCGGGCAGCTATTTATTTTCTCCCGCGTGTACGTGCGGATTGCATGTGAATTTGCTTCACTTAGAGCGCACCTTAGCACGTGCCTATGTAGAAATATGTCATTCACATGTATGAATGATATAAGTGCACTACTAATAATATACACATATATATATATATATATATATATATATATGTGTGTGTGTGTATTTTAAATTTGCATATCCATTTTTCAAGAATTTGAATCGTCGCTGTTTATTTTGAAGGATTGACCAGATAATATAGTATCACTAAGAAAAAGAAAAAAAAAAAAAAAAGGATCCGAACAACTTCACACATCTAAATATGATCTTTTCATTGTATATTGGATGGATAATCTTTAAATTAATAAATAGATATGAAAATTTTCACAAATATTTAGTATTTTTAGATGTGTAATCAATCTGTTTTATAATTGTAAATCAAGCATAAAATTTAAATTATATCTATATTCAATTCAAATTGGATTATCTTTAAATTGCTTTAAAATTTAAATTCATAATTTTGAATCGAGTATTGCATTTAATATTATTATTATTATTTTCTGAAAGTTCAAACAACTGTAAATACGCTCACAATATTATCATTCAAAAGATTTAAACACCTAACCTCCAATTTGAGAATGAAAAATCATACCATCATTAAACTCATTTATTTTGTGCACATCATAATGAATAATACTTAGGTCTTCACCAGTGAAGATATACATCATTCTCTCTTTATTTTTTATTTTTAGAATACGTGTATCGGCCCCATAACTCTTGCACCATTTAAGTCAGGAATGCAATTCAAAAGTGAGACTTACTTATTTCCTAGACCCCTATCAACACTGCAACGTACACCGTCATCAATCAAAATGATGGTAAAGTCTTAAGTGTTGTTCCATAATAATTATGTTGAAATCAAATTTGACTATATTTAAATGTCTTTAAAATTCAAATTCAGTCCGAATAGAGTGGGATATGCTTCGGATTCAATCATATTTGAGATCAAAATTATACCATTTTATGATATAGTCATGTTATGGGCATGGTATTGTCATTTGGTTGTGTCAATGATTGTGTTTGGGGCCCCAATTTGCCCAAGTCGTTGGATGCATTGTGTAGTGCAATTATGTATAAAAGGGGCATCAAAGATGCCAAAATTGATGACGTGAGCATGACCACTTAGAATTATGTATTTTAATAGTAATAATATATGAATGATCATTAAATAATAAAATGTCTATTTAAGTTTTTTTTTTTTTTTAATGAAGAGTCAAATTCTCCCGAATTTTATTTATTATTTTATTTGATTTTTATATTCTAGTGATATTTAATAACCATTTTGACATTGGGGAGTGCAACTGTATCATGTGGATGCATTGGGAGGATAGAGAACCGACAATTGAAATCTATCACAATCTAATTTTCAGTCAGAAATTAATTGGGTTCAAATATTTGAAATCCAATTCCATTTGTGATGAGATAATATGACTGAAAATTGAAGTGTTTGATGATGGTTATAATAAATATTTTTTTATAATTAATTAAATTTTATATTATTTAGTAACAATATTTTTTACATTACTTCTATTAATTTTATAATAATATTTTTTAATAAGATGTTACCAAATTTAATAATAAAATTTTATTAAGGACGTAGTGTAATAATCTAAGTCACACAATTATTCTTAACTTTCAAATGCGCTTTCAATCCTATTCCCACTATTTGTTAGTTAATTTTGCGGCTTTTACTTTATGCAGCTTATAGTGTAATTGTCTTTAAAAAACCAAAAATAACGAAATTGTCTGTTATTTAAAATATTCAACCATCATTTAGAATGCAGTTTTAAAAACTTTAAATCTAGTTTAGTTTAAAAACTCTAGTAAACTAAATTTGATAACTATTAAAAACGTTTTTAATAATTAGCAAACACATCTAAACTTAAATTTTTTTTTTTTTTAAAAAAACATATTTTTAAACAGTAGAGAAACAATTCCAAACGGGCTCTACATCATAGGACAGTAGCTTATTAATAAGTGTAACACTATAAAATAATGATATAATGTAATTATTATATAATTAATATAATTATTGTATAAATGATATGATTTTGTTGGTAGGAGTGCAGATGGATAAGATTGAAGATTAGTTCCTCTTATATCTTTTCATTTTGGTAGGTTAGAATTACATTTATGGAGTAAAGATAAGTAAGGTTTGGATTCAATTAGTTTACTCTTTCATAATTAAATCAATTAGTAAAAAAAAACAAAAACAAAAAAAAAAAAAAAAAAAAAAATTGTTTGAAAACGATACCAACAGCGTCCGGTTTACCCAACCCCACTCTATGATTGAGGATGATTACTTGAATCGGAGGGGTCAACTGTCACGGGAGGAGCCTTTAGAACAACAAGACCACGTGCATGGGTGGTCCACGTGTTCCCCACCATCACCATGCTTGTACGGAATGAACCTTGTTTCTGTCGTGACTTTAAAGTGGGAAACGGCCTGTCCGTGGTTAAATAATTTTGGGACGAAAATAGAACTTATAATTAAAAAACCGAGCGGTTGCATGTCTATTCGTTTATATGTTTATATTGATAAATTATAATTTTATCATTATAATTTATTTTAATTTTAAAAAATATCAAGTATATATTAAGCAAATTTTAGATTATCCTAATTTAATCACTAGATATTATTTTGTATTATATTAAACCTTGTTTAAATTATTACTACGGTTGAAAATTTTATTTCATTCAATATTATTTTCGTAAGTTTATTAAATGATTTTGAACAGAGATGGGTGAGCTTCGCTAAAAAGGATGGGGATGGAATTGGGATCCCTGCCTTATTATCATCCCTAATTGAGCACTTTTTAAAGATTTAATAGTGGTTTCAACATCACATGAATCAACTCGATCTTTTAGTTTTTTAACTCTGAAAGCTGAAGCAAACGCACGCACACATGACACAGCACTAAACCTCTCCTTCGGAAAGAAAATATCATACCACCTGAACAAACGCCCATTGATGAATCAAATAGATTTATAGATTTATGAGAAGTTTGAGTTATATATTTATCATGGAAACCTCCAATAATTCTTGTATTTCTCTTCTTTATCATCTTTCTGTCGCACTAGCACCTATCAAAGAAGTGAAAGCTAATCTCAAGAAAAGACCAGAAAGATCATTTTCCAAGTTCAAGAGAACTTTTTTGTTGAAGTCCTGTTGGCCCCATTATACAATATATATATATATATATATATATATATATATCTCGACTGTACCATACTAGAAATAAACCATTAAGAGAATCCAGTGGGGACTGATAGAAACAAGCTTACTCTAAGTCTCCCTAATGAGAAAACCCCCGTATCAGAAAACCTCACAAAGGAATGTCCTACATTCACAAACACTAATAACTACAAATTCACAGCACTGAGGCATAGAGACAGCTAAAATATGTTTCTAAAACCAAAAAATTACTCCAAGCCATACTACAAATAAATAAATAAATAAATAAAAGGAACTACCAGAAAATCTCATTAAAGTTCAATTTATTTAAGATTTATAAAAGAAATAAAGAAGTCAACACAACAATGTGATTTGAATCCAACTACAATGGCACATTGTTCTACATTCACCACTCCTTAAGAAAAGGATGCAGCAAGATATCAAAGACAACGGAAACCAAAAGTTTGACCAAGGTATTTACAGAATTAGAGTATCAGAGGATCAAACCTTTTACCTCTTCATACTTCGGAGGCGGCTGCTCGTTTGGCGCGGAAGCCTTAGGAGACTCGGATAAATGAACCTGAGCAAAGTCATCCACCATTTTCCTTCTCTGTTCATCTTCAGCTGTACCCACTTTCTCTTTCGTCTTTTGGCCGACTTCTCCGGCTGCCTTTGCAACTTTATTGAAAGCACCGGTTACCCACGTAGCCCCGGTAAATACATACCGGTTGTTCATTATGGCTGATCCAGCACTACTGACTTTTTGCTCAGCAGCTGCAAAAGCTGATTTGGCTTTCTCGGAAACCTGAAATTTCTGATCTACTTCCCGAACTTTGTCATTGACAGCAGAAGTCCCAATGCTTATCTTCTCACTAAGCCCGATTTTTTTGTCAATGGAAGCGACTTTAGCTGAGGCCGACGAAGTCAACTGGTGCTTCTCATCAAAGCCCTTTGCTTTATTGACAGCATCTTTGCCTAAAACAAAGCCCTTCGCAAGCATGCTGCTGACAACGTCTTCTGCCTTTTGGAAAGCAGATTCACCACCACCTGGACTTTTGTTTTCTGTTGTCTGCAAAGTTTAAGAAACAATAGGTCAGAAACACTAGTCTGTTGTGTTAAATATGAGAATTTAAAGATTCTGGATGATTCCTACAAGAGGTGGTGCCAAAGCAGCAGGAGGAAGCTTGTAATCTGGATCCAGAGTTATGTTTACAGATAGATCAACTATTGTCGCTCCCTGAGATCACATGAAAAATATTAGGCAAAAATTTTTGCTCATATATCATCATTTAGGACAATAGGGCCCCATCTATTTTCCTTAAAATTTAGAGCCTAATAAATATAAGGTCATTTTAAAGGTATTTAATACCAAGACTTGCAATATAGAGCCAGAAATATTAGCAACAAAATTTTGGCTGCTTTCTGTTTTTTGTCAATATATTATATGAAGATTGGTAAGTTAAATAAAAAGAGTGCTCATATATGATGCTTAAACTCTAGGGAGAGAAATGTTATACAACTAAACAATTCCAACAGAGAGTAAATATATCCATTCGGCTAAACAATTTTCAACAGAAAGTAAATACATCTTGCTCTTACAATAACATTTAATATTGCTCACAGAATTTGAATAGAAAGAAGCCTCTACAGCCTGTTTGGAAAAATTAAAGCCACTGCCTAAAATCCAACCACCAAAAAGGAGAAAAGGAAATTTCAATCACAGCCCCAGACGAATGCAATTGATCCCCGCCACCCTTCACCACCTGCACCTACTCAACCAATGTTCCTAGGGTTATAGATCTAGCAATCATAGAAACTAGTCCTCATTTGAGCCTTAAAAATTAAAATCCATTTTTTGTTTTCAATTTAATGGAAATTTGGGAATTTCTGGATGGTACAATTTGTTAGTAATTGAGCAGAATCAAGTGAGTCAGCTTAGTCTTTTTTTATTACTACAAGTTGATGATTATTACCCATTGCAAGAATGGTAAATGACATCTGCAGGATCTAATTGCATTCCTTAATATTTAAACGTCAAGGCTAGTTAAGATTTAGTTGATGCAGACCATAAGAAGCTCAAGAAAGAAAGAAAGAAAGAAAGGAGAAAGAAAAAGGGCAACCAAAAAAAAAAAAAAAAAACAGAACACTGGAAATTTGCTCAATGTCAAGCCAGGAATCACTTAGGACCTACTGAAATATTGTTTTTAGTATTAATGAAGTTCCAAATTTTCAGTTAAAGTTAGTTTATTGTTAGTTTATCTTTACTTGTGTTGTTGGAGTCAAGGTTATTTTGATCATTTCCAGAATTTGCTGCACATGGTCAGTTAGAAGGTCCATGAGTCATATTTTGAGTCAAAATGTGATATTAGGTCTGTATGCATGATTTTTAGTAGCTATAAATGTCATGCCCCGATGCAAGAAATCCATTAATCTCATATAGCTATAATTCACCACCTCTATTTATGCACCACAAGCTACATGAAAATTTGCAACTCATCCTGCTGCCCTTGCTAAGTCATCACTCTTGCTCTCCTACACTATGCTATTTTTTTTTGGTTTCATCACAAAAGCCTAAGAGGCTGCAACCCTGTACACAGGCTGTATACAAAAGAAAAAGCTAGACAACCAAAGGAGCTAAATGACTAAATCATATTCTCTGCAAAGTCCAAAAAACACTGATGATGGGTCAATCTGCCAAGTAAGGACTCAAAACTGCTCTTCAGCTTATGAACCAACTCCTCCAGGCCTCCACATCCTCAAATGACCTCCTCCTCCTTTCCCTCCAAACGCACCATATCAAACAAAGCAGCATTATTAACCAGCTCTTCCTTCTGTCACTGTCACCGATCAAAGAAACACCCAATCCATCCAAAACAGTTTCAAAAGAAATGCCCAAACTTCCCAGCAAGCCCAAAATACAAAAACGAATGATTCACCAACTCCGCACAAATACAACACCAATTATGAATAATATTCTACATTTCTTACTTAGGCTGTCAACCACAAGATACCAACTTTGAATCTAGGCGACTTTTGACAGTTTGACACATACCATGCTAAAAAAAAATACAAGAGTTGGATATTTTTTACTTTGCTGGAGCCTTTCAGATGGTAGAACTTAAAACTCAGCACAAGTGATACAGTTCAAAATATCTTGTGATTAAACATACAAAAATTTACTATAGGTTATGTTTAGGATGAGTACAGGATACATTTCAATGATTGAACATGCTATAAACAGGTAAATATAACGGTTTCCAATGGAAAGTTTATTCAAGCCGTGAAAATGGAATATATGATATTTCAGTCCTCCTCATATTTCCAATCAACTTACGAGATGGGAAAATAAATTAATATATACTTTCTGGGAAAAAAAAAAAAAAAATTGAATATGTGTGTGCATATAAAAAAATCACATAAGAAAAATAATATAGGATTAAATATCCAGATAAGAAAAATCACCGAAAGAAGAACTGCAGTCTCTGCTCCTTGTGAATCCTTGAAGGTTACAAATGCAATTTGAGACCGCTCAGTATCACTGCATAAACAGCCTATAAGAGTGGAGTTCATATAATACTGTTAAAGAAAGGTCCAAAAAGCTGTGAAACTACTTCAGGTAGTAACCTCTGCATTTCAACATATTCAATATCACCAGAAAAGGAAAAGAACTCCTTGAGGTCTTGCTCAGATGCCCCTAAGGAAACGTTGCTGACTTTGACAGTTCTTATCTGTAGAGAAAATGAAATAACTTGATGGCATTCCCTTTACAACACAGAATCATCATAAACATGAAATTATGAAGTCTTGAACCAAAGGATAAATAATGGCCACAGGTACAGCATATGGAACTATTTGTTGGTTGGTGGATCCGTAGCATTAGAAAATATTTTCAGAAGGTATTTAGCTTCAATAATAATTCAAAAATAAAAAGAGTAATCGCTCCTGCTAAATTTGTAAGTAATAAATTAGAAAGTTTTCATACAGAAAAATCACTTGTTTATCTAGAAACATTAGATTTTTTGAAATGCTCCAATTAGTTTTTTTACATCATTTTAATGTGAAATCTATCAACTTGGGTGGGGCCAGTGGTGCCAGTACAGAAAATGACAGCCATATCATATATGGGTTGCAACCATCTTCTTAGTGGCCTATATGGATGATGATTATTTTCTTCAGATTGTATGAAATTTACAGTGTTCCTTATCAATACCCATGGCTCATCCCAATTTCCTTTTCTAAGAAATGATATTTAGGAGATTTCCATCTGTCAGTGATAAGTAAATCTCATGGGTTGCATGACATACATAACCAATACACATCCACCACATGTATGAATAGCTATAAACATGTCTACCCAAGGAAGGTTGCTGGTTTTCATCATGGCCAATATACCGAACACTGAAAACTAAGCCATATATATATATGTTTTCCTTAGGCAAGAAACATACACAACCGTTTGCCCATATCGAGACTTGAACCCTCACTTTCTGCTTTGGGAGGTAGAAATACCATTGGGCTACAGACCTTGGTCCTTGAACTTTTTTCACACTCAGACTCACATATTCAGTTCTGTTAATACAAGAGCACACATATACAGTGATACAATTGTTTCCATATTTAGGAAGTTACTACATACAAATATTCAGGTCAAAATGCAACACTCATGTGTGCCTCTGTAAATATGAACTTTTAAGTATTGTGCTAAATAAGATATCCTGAAGAGTGAACAAAAGAGTACCTTCTATGAACGTAAAGATGAAGCACTAATTGTCACTAATTTCGTGTTCAAATAACAGCTCACTAATGTCACAAGTATGGTGTTCAAATAACAGCCAAAACCAATATGGTACGTTTTGTTTTAGGAACCTCAAATTAAAGAGATCTCATAGATAGAAGCTGCATAAAAGATCATCGCAAGTGCAGAGAGCATGAAGCAAGAGTATATAGTTCAGGAGCACGAAAGTTAATGAGCTGTCAAGCAGGAGGCAAATAAAAGATTGCATGAATTTTTAAAAGAACGTATAAAGTGTAAAAGAAGCGTACAAAAGAATATTGAAAACTATGAAAGCATATAGAAACCAAATGGAGAAAATAGAATATGTATAATTTAAAAGCACAATACAAGGAAGCATGCTACCAAAATCAGGTATTATTTTTCTAGATAATCCTTCACTACCAAATTTGAGAATAAAGAAACGACACCCTAACTTCCAAAGAAAATATGACACTATGAAGATATCGTAATCATCAGATTCACTTTCAAACTAATGACCAGGCCTGATCAACCCAATCATTATATTTTGCCACATGTGAGCTATGGGAGTCGAACCCACTTCTTCCGCAACAGTCCAATGAACTTCTGGGAAAAGGGAATCCGGATTTCCAACTTTTGAAGCACAAAACAGAAAGAAACAAAAAAAACCCACTTGTACGCTTCGAAATGTTTAACCGAAATGTTTTAGAGTGCCACAACTCCCCGAATCCTACTTAGAGACAATGCTTTCTGGCATAAATCACTCTGCCGTGGACACCATGATAAAAAGAGTGCTAGACTATTATTACCTGTCGTCGGTACATGTTAGTTGAAGGCACTGGGAGAGGTGGCCTGGGTAAAAACCTAACCTCTAGCATTACCTACCCTCTTTATAAACATAAAAATAGAAAAAAGTAGAAGCTAATAAGTGGAAAAATTGAAATGTTCCATTTTTCCTGAAATAAGATGAAAAGGACGTTCTAATTGGATCAGAAGTTTCAGATGGTGAAGCTAGTCCAAGCTTAGATCTGGTTGATCCACATGCATTAAGCCAAGAGCCTAACTCAAATCGAGGGCCACATATCCAAATGTTTCCCCTACTTTGATTTTGGTCAGCTCATTCCAAAGTCAATATCAAATGATAGTTTTAAGAAAGCAATTGCAAATATTTAACTTCATCTTATAGTAACAGAAATGCTTTTCATTTAATACCAGTTTGTTATATGTATGTATTGGATTGAGTTTAAGTACAATACAATTCTGGGGCTCAATGTTAAGTTTGTGCAACTTTTGCACCTAGATTCAATTAGTCCCAAACTACAGTACATAGCTGCACCATTATTGGACAAGACTAGCCCAACCAAGCACTACCCACACTATTGACTCAAGCCTCCCTCAACCAAAAGTAAAGGTGACAGATCTAATGACTGCCAGCCCAAAGTTTCAATTTTGATTCTAGTCAAAGTTGGCATTCATTGTTTAACTGAAGTAAAATTTGAATTTCAGGTGTACAACCACAAAATCCAAAAAGCAAGGTGGATTGAAGAGGAAACACCACAAAGAAAACTCACTGACAGTGGTTATGACATACTTTATTTCAAAAACCCACATTTGCAGTTAAACAACTTAAACTCCAGATGATTCAAAACCACACAAACTCAAACAACCAGACTAAAAATCTTAATCCATGAAGCCACGTCATAAACAGATTAAGAACAATACCATTGTGATACCCCAGCTGGAAAAAGGTCGCAAATTCATAAGGAATTGGTATTTGAACCATTCAGATTAAACTTTAAATTTGTCTTTGTTGGTATGGATCTCTGGAGGCTAGGGGTGGCAAAAATTGACACGATCCGCCAACACGACTCGAACACGACACAAGTTAAATGGGTTTGGGTTGACTTTAAACATGTTCGGGTCATAAACAGGTCGACATGATTAACCCGTTTAATTAATCGTGTCGTGTTTGGATTGAGGGATTCAACCCGTGTAACCCGTTTATACACGTTTAACTATATATGTCATAAATAAATTCCTATTTAAGCTTTAAAATTCCGATATAAACTTGTGTCTTATAATTTAATCTTTTGTAAACTAGAAATTATTTAGTAATTTGGTTGATTAAAATTTATATTTTTTTTAGTATTTATTATTTTATTGAGTATTATTAATAATTTAAATAATATATTTTTTTTTCTTTTTGTAAATAGGACCTTAAACGGGTTACAATTGTAACCCGTTTAATAAACAGGTCAGGTTAGTATTGAGAGTTCCTGACACGATTATTAAATGGGTCGTGTTCGGGTTAAGTTGTTTAGTATAATACCCTTAAGTTGACACGACACGATTACGACCCGCGAACACGAATTGCCACCCTTACTGGAGGCATAAAGCAACAAGAATAGGCAACTAAATTGAATTAGTATTTGAACCATTCAGATTAAACTTCAAATTTGTCTTTGTTGGTACGGATTTCTGGAGGCATAAAGCAACAAGAAAAGGCAAGCAAATCCTAAGCTATATCATGTGGTATAGATTAAGACTATATGGGATCGAGGTATTGTACGTGATTTTGTTATTTCCTATTGTTGGTCAGGATTAGCTGAATAATTCAAAGAAATTAGAAAGTTTAATTTGTTCAAGTTGCTTACTTTTAGAAGGCTCTATTTTTCTAACACAGAAACATAAACTAGGGGGCCAATGGGATCAGATATCCCACCAGTCTTACCCATAAACGATGGATAATAGATGATGTGCGCATCAACCCCTGCAGTGCTGTAGCTAATGCTTCAAGTATCTCATTGAGTACGTTCGCAAGAATAAACTCAAACGAATTGATGGGGGCCCACAAAAGCGGTAGAACATATGGTTATGCTATTTCTATGAAAATTCTAAACTCAATGAGTTGGATCTTGCTCTTTCCTTGCAATACAGCCTACCTTACAAGAACTCTAGGGAACCATGAGACCGTGTTCCAACTACCCCGGCCCGGGGAAGCGTAGCCATGACGGAATGGAACCCAGTCAGAAAGAAGCTGACCGAAGGCAAAGAGTGAGCCACGGGCCGATGAAAAGAGGAAAGTAAGGAGAGGTTTTTCAAGACAATGATTTTATTGGGAATGATGGAATTATTTCATGTTCTTTACACTATATAGTTAAACAATATACTGCCTTAAAGATAGAAGATTTTGTGGCACAAAATATTTTTTGATAAGTAAAGATGTATTAGTTAGAAAGTGTTCAAGAGGGGAACGATGCCCTGAAGACAATTTGTGGCACAACATCCAAGTAAATCATCCAAGAAGCATCAAAACCCAATTTACTTTTTTTTTTTGGGCAAGCACAATATTGGAACAAGACTAGGGCAGTTCCTATCGTTCATTGCCTACCTCAAGGATTCGGTTCAAATTTGAGGCTGGATTTTTTCCCAACCAGTTGACTTTCATGACAAGAAAAAACTTTTCGAACAGCATTACGTCATTTCATAAAATCTTCCAATTTTACAACAATGATCCCAGCAAACCTTAGTAAGCCAATTTCCAAGGTTACATGAGACAGATTCAGGGCACTGGCACCTGCTATCATAAAATCTGAATGATAAGAACCCACCTCTCACCTTTACATTAAATGGAAGGACAAAAAGTCAATCTCCAGGCAGAAATCTTCCTTTTAAGTCACCCATACAAATTTTCACACACCATTCAATTGTTTAAAAAATATGTCAAAGTGAAGGAATCAATGAACAAAATGACTGAACTCTTGGTTAGGTTGGTTGTCGATTTACGAGAACCAGGTCCTCTTTATTATCTTGTATAAGTACAATTTTAGAAAAATAATAATAAATTAAAAAAAATCATTGAACCTCCTGTTTTAGATCTTGTACAAGTAAAATTTAGAAAAATAAATTTAACAACACTGAACTAGAGAGATCAAACCCTATAGGAGAGAGAAGAAGTTTATTAAACAATTTATGAAGTCTGAACCATTGAATCCAAATTAGAAATGGCCCCAACATGTAGTAATTACTAATGGAAAAAGTTTGGTAGGTCTTACAGCCATGGTGATGTAAAAGACAACTGTTAGAAAATTTGACATAATGCTGTTCACAATTACAGCCATGGTGATGTAAGACAACACTTATAACACATGCTTGTAATAAGCATAAATCAATGGTTTGTATCAATACAATTACATGAAAGTCAAGAAGAAAATAAGATCTAATTGATTACTTAAAAGAAATTGCTCAATATTCATATAATCAAGTCCTAATTGGCCGTGAGTCAATTTTCTTTTCTTTCAAGTTCATTCAATGACGAAGAGTAGATATGATAGAAGAATCCTTATCAACCTCCTTGAAATGTGAATCTACTTGGTTAAGGAGGAAGAATTTGCATTAGGGGGAAAACTTTGTTCCATCATTGAAAGCAAGTGACAAATTCACTTAACAGTGCAACTATATGCCTATTATTTGTTTATTTGAAATTTTCACATTCAATATGCGCATGTGAACGCAAGGGGAATATCATACATACTTCCAGGAAAAGTGAATTTGCACATCAATTATACACTTTGTAAAATCGTTATCAACAAAAATTTCATTTCCTAATTAACAAAATTGCTGGAGACAACTGGCCTGTATAGTGTATTTCTTTTTTAAATTACGGTCTACTCAGAATCAACTTTTTGAGCAAGGGTGTGGGAAATAAGTTTTCATTACTAAACCAGTTAAGAAGATTGGTTTTTTTTTTTTTAAATCAATTAATTCCAGATTACAAATTACACTTTCCTTATTAGTTCTCTGCTTTGTAGGAGGGGAAAGCGGGAAGAAGAAAATGTAATGAAAGATAAAGAGTAGGAATAAATAGGCTTTTATTATTTAATAGGAGAAAAAGGGAAAGGGATGGATAGAGAGAAATGAAGGCATTTCCCTCAGTTCACCACATCTATGTGTCCCCAAGTGAGGAGAAAGGATGAGGAAAAAGACTCCCCATCTTTTTGGATATTTTTGCCCACCATTTATATAATAACGATATAATGGTAAAATCATGAAACACCTCTTTCCATCCCTTTTTTTATTATTATTATTTTTTTTTTTCCAACCAAACAAAAGTATGGAAATGCCCCATCCTTTTCCTATGGCAACTTCCTCTATCCCACCCACTTTCCCTTCCAATTTTTCAACACTCTACCAGATAAAGTATTAATTTCATTCACCAAGGTTGCATATCAGGCACTTCTTTATTTAGGGTTCATTTTCATCAAGAGTATATAATAACAAAAAACACAAATCAAGTTAAGGTGACCCATAAATGTTATTATACAAGCACGTCAATTTGATGGGTATCACTACTTTGAAGTATTCACAAGCTGCATCACATAATAATGATAATGATGACAACATTCACAAGATTTAAGCACGAAGGGTCATTTAATGATGCAACTGAACCACGGAATACATGACGATAAATCTCACCGTATATTGATTACTTAATTGAGATTTTCAGTAGAAGACCACAACGAACAAGCACAAGTTCTAACCCTTATTGATGAACAAATTCAACATACCGAAGAACAACAATTACAATATAAGTACAGCTAATTAAGGTACATCCAACAAATTAAAGTAAAAAAGAGTAACTAGAAGAGAGCGTCTCCGGGTTCTTGTTTTCGGCCGACTTTAATTTGAATATAAAACTCGCATTCACATACTCAAACATACAACTCAACTCAAAGCTATATCGTATATGCAAAATCTAAATAGATCTATATCAATTAAAGCCTATTACCAGATTCAGCCTCACAATCAACTTAAAATGCAAGAACAGCACCAATGGAGGGCATGTATATACAGTTATACGCACAGATATATACACATATACGAATATTCATAATTGAGAGAGAAATGGATAATCAATACTGACCGACATGGCAAATGTTTGTTCGAAGTAGATCAGAGATCGAACGGGATACTGAGAAATGCGGCGGAAAAATCAAAGCAATCGCCGGAGATACACTTCAGCTGTTTCGTTGTCACTACAATCAAGTCTAGATATGCGAGAAATACATGTATATGTATGTGTATGTGTGTGTGTGTATATGTATAGAGAGAGAGAGGGAGGGGTTTGGGAATTTGATGCCGGCGTGGTTGAGGAGGAGAGTAACGGCGTTGACGTGTTTTTGGGCTGTGAGTGACTTGAATATACACTCCGACTCGCGGTTAGGACTTCTAGGGTGAGTTTAATATTATTTATTTATTTTTGAGGGAAGATAATTTTTTATTAACAAAAAAATATTTAAATTACCAAATCACCCACCGTAAATAGTGTTTTATGTAAAAATTGACATCATAAGTTCATAACTTGAGGGTAAGTGCCGTATTATTGTCTGCGTTCAACCTTGTATTATTTTATTTAATAATTAATCTCTAACTCTTAATATTCATAATTTAAGTGGCAGACAAAATCAATGCAATGATAATTCAACAATTGAAGGGTTATTATAAATTCAAGAGTACTAAATTTGATTTTCACATGAAAAAAATATTTGAATTTTAAATAATATGAGTAATTTGTGATAATTACATACATATATAAGGTGTATTTGCATTTATGTGTTTCAAAAATACCAAATCGAAAGGATTTCCATTTTCAAACTAAAAAAAAAGAAAAATTGAATGCTAAGATGACAAAATATGAAAAGAATAAACAGTAACAAGTCTTCTAATTTTTCATAATTAACATGTCATCATCAAATGGTCTTCTCAATCTTTTGATAATTCTATTGAAGTCTTCAATAAAGACATATCGATTGAGTGACTTATTTATCAATAATGCTATCAAGATAGTTTCTTTGTGACCAGACGTGAACTCTTCATATTTAATAATTGGATTGAAATAGTATTTTTTAAGATATGTAAAAAATAAAATAAATCATTTAATACGCCTTTCAATCAGGTGATTAAAAATGAACAGTATTTATGACTTATCCTGAGAAAACTCTTTTAGTAGCATTACTCATTGTTTATTATGTCTACTTCTGTCATTATTGAGAATAAAAGGATTTATTTATTTTTGTATTAAACTGATGAGATTGGTGGATGGTGAAAAAAGTATTTAAAATTTAGAAGTTCCCTTTCAAGAAATGATTAACGATTGAGGTTTAGATTTTTTTAGAACCTTAAACATTTTACTATTGACCGTTAAGCTCCTGCAAATCTTTTTTATTTGAATAATCTTGTGCCTATTATTAAATATGTCTTTTGAATGAGAGATAAAAAGAGAATCTATTGTCTCTTAAACAAGTCTTTTTTGTGTTGGTGGAATCAGTTTGGAACCTTCGATGTAGCATCTAAAAGAGATCATTGTTTTTTTTAAAAAAAAGGGTCACGCAGTGAAAGAGCTCATTGTTTAGTGAGATTTAGGTCAAATGTCTTAAAAGGGCAGTGCAAAATGATTATCACCAACCTTTACACTATTAATATAAGAGACGTGATAGATCTTCGGACTTCAATTGTCGACTATTCCTCCGAATATAACGTGGTTGGGAATGAGTGGAAGAGAAAGAGATGTTTACGAATTTTTTTTTAAGAGTTCTAATGGAATCTAACCACGTTATATTCGTAAAAAAAGTCGACAATTAATGCCGGAAGACCTATCGTTTTTCTTAATATAATCTTGGTTGATGGGGTAAAAAGAATCTCCAACCTTCCCAAGACTACCTCTTTTTGTGTTTTTATTTTCTTTTTATTCATATAATCATATTAATTGAAGTTTAAAATTCATTTTTAATTTTTCAGTTTTTGATTCTGGATTTTCTCACCAAAAAAAAATAATAATAATAAAAATAATAATTTTGTTTGTCATCACAAACTTTTCAAATTAAATGTCAGTTTCTTGTTCAACCTCACATTAAAGGTCATGAAACGCAATACAAATACTATATTACATGAACTTGTTAAAAGTATGCAAAGTACTTATGTCCGGAATACATTATATTTACACACATACATATATATAGAATATGTGTCCGGAAGTTTTGATTGAACCTGTACCTAAAAAGTGTATTGCATAATTTAATTTCACTTTTAACTTTTGGTTGAACATGTATTGAAAAAGCATATCGTATAATTCAATTTCATTAGGTATAGAAATAATTTTAGTTCAGAAAATAGAATAAAAATAGTTAAATGACATAAATATTTAGCAGTTTTCCCAACGTCATCAAGGGTCTTTCGTGGCTTGGTAATTGGTACAAGGAAGAAGACATACCCACTCCCCCGGCACATAACCCGAATCCATATAACATGTAGAAGATATACAAATTACATATGAATCTTACATGCTTCAACGACAATGCTACTAGAATGACATTGTTATAAACAAACAACATCGGAGCATTATTAATGTTAAAATAATATATCAAACAAATTTGAATATATCTCTATCAATTTATCCAATTTTTTTTGTATATAAATTTATCGGTTCATATATATATATATATATATATATATATATATTTTCAACCACTCCACGTGACTGTCCATTTGACAAATTGCTTTTCAATGTGACCTTCTAGATCCTGTAGTGACTGGAAACTCATGCCCTGGAGTCATCCTTTTAACTTGAACTTGACAATAAAAAAGAAGTGAGAATTGCAGTATGGAGAGTATTGGATATTTAGCTAATTCAGCAGATAGAATACCTACCAAAAATAAATCAACAGATAGATTGTTGAATTTGAGTATTAAGGCAGCCACATATAACCAAGTAGGCAATGTAGCAAACAAGAAGAAATCATTTTTAGATAAAACAAAATTATCATGATTGAAATGCGTGGTACTTCCTTACCTTCTAATTGTAGAAGGTTGAGGGTTCAAGTCCTTGTAGGGGCATGTGAGTGTGTGCGAATGTTTACCAAGATAAATACGTAAAACAAAAATAATAAAAAAATTGAAGAAAAAAAGAGCATAGACCATTGTAAGAAATAGCTCACCTTTGATGACTCAGAAGGAGAAGGAAAACAGATGGTCTGAAACATGAGCTAAGCTGTAAGTGAGGCTACACTTAAAATGGGACAAAATAAACTTATTTTCGGTAGATATGTAAAGCAATACACTGGCTCACTGAATCAATGACATGTATTATAAGATAAACACGAATTCAATACTGAACAACATAAAAATGCAAGACCTGGGCTACTTTTTATTCTATAATGCTTTCACGATGCATTTGGAAGCAAAGAATTGACGACTTGGATGCCTTGAAATTGGAATCAGAGAAAAGTTAGTTAAAACTTTAAACTACTTTACTCTAATTCCGAATCCAAGGGCCAAGGCACCAATTCCATGTTTTGAAAGGTAGATTCAAATTATTCTAAGGATGCCATTGCTGAATCAGTGAATTGATCCTTTTATATCATTATTCTGATTTGGAAAAATTCAATATAACTTCGACGTAACAATGGGAAAACATCCACAAGAAAACAATAGGCATACTGGTTCTAGATAAACTCAAATCCTAAAAGCAGAGTCACGATGCTTAATTACTAGCAAAAAGATGTATTCAACCATATATATATTGTAAACCATTCAAGTTAATTAGCACATCACAAACTTTTCAGATAATATTAACAGTCATAACAGCATATATCAAGCACTCAAAAGGCTCATATCACTGATATATACATATATAAAGAGATTACTAATACATAATTTCCTTCTTTCTTTTCCCCCAATATTATACTTCACATTAGCTAAGAAAACTCAAAAAAGAACTCCAACAGGCTTATCATGCGATACTCTATCCAAAACAGCTACTTTATAGCATACGAGAAGTGGTGACAGTCCCGACTTCTGAGGAGTAGTTAGTTCATACTGGACAGCAACATCATCAAGTCAAACCTTTTTCTTTCCTCATTAGGAAAGTAGAAAGAAAAAAAGGTACGGAATAGCATTGCCATTAATTGAAAATGATGCTCTCTGTCTTTCTTGAACACTCAGAAACCAGCCTCCTCTCCAGTGACACCTGTATTCTGCAATGCACTGGGAATGGCTGAGATCAATTCAACAACAGGTGAGAATCGTGAGACCCACTATTAAGTGTACCGCAGAATACGGTTTTTACTCCAGAGTTGGGTACAATTTCAGCTTTGCCAACTTTACTTTAGCACCCATACATTGGCCCTCGTACAAAAAAAAAAAAAAAAAAAGAAAAAAAAGAAAAGAAAAAAAGCATCCCTCACATTTTCCAGTTAAATCAGCGTGGTACTTGAAGCCAGAGCCAAAGTCCAAGCACTATCTCTACCACAACTCCTCTTAAGACACCTTCTTGTGAACCTCATAAATAGGTATCGAAAACCCCATTAAGAATTTCAGCCACATTAGCACAATCTGTAAAAGCAAAACACTTTCATCTTAACTACCCATATCCCCATGTTACCTCTTTCTAACCAAATTTTCACATTTGTACTGTTCTTTCAGAACCTATCTGCTACCTCAGTCTTTTCCTTTTAAATGATATTCAGTCCTACGAGATAGGCTTGTTGCCGTTACAGGGGTCGATTCTGAACCCAGTAACAAACCCAAAAGGGAAATGCATTAGTTCAATTCGTCTTTCTAAAACTGAAGCATTCATGTGTATCTACTGTGCCCATGTACCTATTTTGGACCCTACTGCAATATTTTTACTGTTGCAATTTATATTTATGTGCTCAAAAGCATAATCAATCATTCGTGGCACTTTCTTACTCAGCTTATTTTTATATTTTCAAATATGACTTAACACAAATAAATGAGTAAATATTTAATATTGCTTTAAGAAAATAAAATCTTGATTACACAAATATTATCCTTTTATATATGTTTGATACTCCAAAAATGAAGTTGAACAGCAAAGGGTTTAGGAACGTGTCTTCTGGCGAAGATTTAATCATATTACGGTATATTCTTGTAATTTTAATTTAAATACTGGAACGCAAAGTGATGTCTTGCTTACCAATTTCACAAGGTGTGAACTTTTAAATGTAGCATTCCCTTCAACCTCAAAGTAAGTGCCCTCTATTCTGTAGATTCCAATAGCGTAATAGGAAGTAAGCTACCCTAACATTGAGAGAAGAAAATATTATACGAAGAGATCTTACTTTTGTATGATTATCAACTCAGCCATATGACAAGGAAAATAACTAGGCAATCCATGAATCAGGACTTCGTTTTAATTCTTGTAAGAAAAGTATATTTTTGAACACAAATCTAGATCCGAAAGATGGACCATTGTGATCCATAAACCATTAGACTCTTTGCGGAAGGAAATTTCCCAAGTCTCAAATGAACAGTGTTAGTTTCTTCTGGATTTTTGTGCTGCAGAAACAGCTTAGTTTGGAACAAAGTCGATTGCCTTCTCAACCAAAAATGAAATAAAATAAAGGGTTAAATGCTTTGACACCCCCTTCAGGTTTCAATTTATTGCTCTCATATTAAACCTGAGCAAAAGTCGCTAATACACCCCCATGAGGTTTGGTTTAATTTGCTCTCACACCCCCTCTTTTAAAAATGATAAAATAAAATACCTAAATTACCCTCCTTTATTTCAAAAACATTTTTATTCTTAAATTGTTAAACTTTTTTACCCTCAACTCGTTTCCTCTCTTTCTTCTGACTGGTTTGTTTTGTCTGATAAGTTTGGACGCCGTTTTGATGTATGCTTCTAGGTAGTCCTGATGAACACACTTGCGGGTTCGTGGAGCTGGTTGTGTTAATCATTGAGGCTTGGTGCTCGTCGGAGCTAGAACAGACCTAGGAGAACTCGCCTCAAAAGATGATCGGGAAGAACTCTGTTTTAGCCAAAACCAAGAGCAAGAATGGTGAGCAAGCAAACTCCGCTACTATGAACGCCAACAAGTCGGCAGTGAGCTTGAATGACTACAAGGAAGCGGGACTCGGAGTCGATGTGCTTTGTAATATGCAGAACTCACCGAAGATGAGGAACGACTCGGCGCTGAACTAGGACGAGGTGGAACTGTTCGGTCCTTCGGCGACAGATAAAGATGGTGAGCTCGGATGGTAGGAAAGCAGTGGTGGCGGTCAAGAGCTCTGAAGAACCCACCAGCTACGAGCAAGGATGTGCTCGGTCGACAACAACGGTGAAGCTTGCAATTTCAGTTGAATAGCACCGGTGACGACGACGAACTATCGACAACGAGCTAGAACTCTCCATTGAAGTCGGCGCGAGTAGAGCCTCAACCAGTCAGCTTAAAGAATATTTTTCGATGACGAAAAACCTCCATTAACTTCGGCACCAAGCTTCAACCAGTGACGGTTCAGAACTCCATGCAATCGAGACCTAGAGGCTCAAGCAAGCTCACACTCCTTGTTGCTCCAGTGACGGCGAGCCACAATCGACCATGGAACAGCACTCGAGATCAGTGGCGAGAAGCTTGTGAATGATTTCAACCTCTCCAACCCTAGTCGATGAGTTTCGGTTGTGAAAAGGATGGCAGGACTGTTTGGCAAAAAGATGGATTTGTGGTCGGCGAGCAAGGAAGAAAAGAGAGAACGGAGAGATGACTCCTCGCCGTCAACAACCGAGCTCACCTTGCTCATCGCCGTTGACGAAATCTAGCTGAGCATCGCTGCTCAACTTCATGCTCGCCGTGGTCCGGGTTTCTTCTTGCTCAATCCGATCACTTCACCGTCATCATCATCGTCGGCGTCAACCATCGTCCTCTACACCAACACTTGCGGTAAGCTCTCCAATCATCCAAGTACGCTGTAGTTTCGTCTGCTCACTGCAATCCTTCCACAACAGCGTGTGGTTGGCCTCACTTCACCCAGTGCAAAGTCGTCCTCTCCGTTACCGTTGCTCTCCGCTGCCGGTAACATCAAACCCACCTCTCACCGGTTCCTTCCTTGGCCGCCTTGCCAACTCACTGACCAACTCTTTGGTCCTCACATGCAATTAATCTCTGGTCTTTCACTTCACCGAACATCGAGAAATCCCCATGCTCTCTGGTCCTCCACTCTTCTTTGACCTTTTCTTCTTCTTCTCCTAGGACGTCACCTCCTTTGGCAACTTCTTCTTTGCCGCTGTCTTCTTCTCGGCCTTGGGAGCCATTTTAAAGAGAGAAAACGAGTGAAATTCTAGAGAGAGAGAGTGCTGAGAAAATTGAAGAAAGGTGAAGTTCAGAACATAGGTGATAATATTGTCATTTCACAGTTTGCTTACAAATATGTTAAATAAAGCCAAGGGTATAATAGTAAACTCAATTTTTTATACTTTAGAATAGGGGTGTGAGAGCAAAATTGGCTGAGGTTTAATATGAGCGCAATAAACTGAAACCTCAGGAGGTATCAGAGCATTTAACCCTAAAATAAAAGAAGAAAAAGAAAAGAGGCATAGTTAAAACTTAGTAAATCTTAAGTCCATCTAATAAAAAACTAGCTCATGATCTTAATTAACGAAACTATGTTCACTTCCTATCAAAATGAAAAAATAAGCTAGATCGTAGGAACAAATATGATCATATTCCATAAAACAGATGTATAAAAAGGCCCACCAAAAGCCTTAACGATAACAAGGCTTGCAATAAAAAAGGGCAAATAATACTTAACTAGGAAAGAAAGAGATATATATATATATATATATATATAGAGAGAGAGAGAGAGAGAGAGAAGAAACAAACAAGGGGAAAAACATGCTACATTAGAATGTAGACTAACAAGAATAAAGAATGAAATTTTATTGAATTTTGTAAGGTACAAAAATCGAATTTCCAAATACAAAGACACAACAATAGAACTAATCATAGATTAGTCTTAAGGACACTCATAAGCGAGTCTTGTAGCCTAGGAAGCACGGACATGCCTAAAAGGGCAAAAAATCCGTGTCGAACACCGACACGCACCGGAAACGCCTCGACAACCTTGACAAGTGTCGGATACGCCATGGACACGCGTCCGACATGCCATGGATACGTGTCCGACACACATGTCCTATTCTTGGGACTTTTAAGAAAGATTTCGAAACAATGTTGAGTTGAAGTATAAATATTAGGAATTGTTTAATAATGTTTAGAAATAAGATGGTAATTACATAATTACTTAAAAGTTGTTTTATAAAACAAATTTATATTAAAACAATTAGATATTTATGCTTATATTTTAGTTCAAGGTTAGAACTCTTTCACAATCGTCTTTGACTCTCTTGTTCTCCCACCAACCAAGGTTCGCTACCGATGGATGGTCTCTCTTTCTCTCTATTCTCTTTTCTCTGTTCTTCTTCATTCTCCTCTTTTCTTTCTTCTTCTTGTTCTTCACAAACTCTTTTATTTCTTGTCTCTTTTTCCTTTTTCCTCTATTCCCCATGATTTTTTTTCTATTCTATGGATTCTTACCTTTATTTTTATCTAAGGCCTAATTCTTTTTCTAACAAAACCCTAATCCTCTTCGTTTCTTTGTTTTTTTTTTTCCCCCTCTTTCTATCATTCTTTCTTTTTCCCCAGCAAAACACAATTTTTTTTCATTATGAGGTTGTGAAAACTAATATTACTCTTAATTTTTTAAAGTACAACATCATACACACATATATATATATATATATATATATATATATATATATATAATATTTATTATTTACAGTGTCCCCGCCGTGTCGGTGTCCTAATTTTTTAGGATTTGCCGTGTCGCTGTATCCACGTCGTGTCGTATCCGTTTCCGTGCTTCTTAGCTCGTAGCATAAACAAAGCAATTAAGTTAATTAACCAATTCTAATTAATATCTCGTAATTCTTATAAACTCATCTAAATGCTATAATTACCAGAACAAGCCTCATGAAATGATTTATCTCATTCATTATTATATTAAATTTCCAAATCCATAAAGTTGTTTCCTCAATTACAAACAATTAATTACTTAACTATCTCGATTGACTTTATTATGTTTCTAAACAAGTTATGCCAATTTCCCTTAAACTTAATAAATCTGTAAGTTAACCATCTTGATTAACTTTTACTAAATTTTCACTTATTATACATGAGCCCCGGGTCCAGGCTCCAATAAATCAAAGTGGCTCGCTCTCAAAGCCACAAGTACTGGAACATATACTCCTATACTCTAAACAAAGTGTACAACACAGTCTCAAACCATTGAAAACTCCAGACTTCTTGTTGGGTTTGAATGTCTAGTCACCTAGATGGTTCCAGACCACATGAATACGGCATAGCAGCCCAAATGACCATATAACAGTATCATCACTCCCAAGGTAGGTCCCAGACCATGCCTAGCAAGAAGTGAGAACACATTGTCACAATTCCAAGTGGTTTAGACTAATCTAAGAACTTAGGATGCACCTCCGCCTCTTAGAGGGCCTTACATAATCTCAACCGTCTGTAAATTAATTTCAATTTTCATATATGTTAGGCACATTCGTTATGTGTTTGCAACTTCCTACTCAAAACTTGGGTTATAATGTATCAATGTGTCTTCAGCCGTTTGAGACTTTTGAGTACATGTTGAAGACAAGGTAGATATGAAATTTTGATACACACTAGAAATCCCTCAAGACTCAACCACCTATCTATGTTAAGTTGAGACCTCAGAGACCAATTTATAACCTAGGGATGATCTCTAGAAGGCTCAAAAAATTGTTTTAATCCTACATATCGAAATGGGAGTTTTTACTAAAATTATTTTCAAAACAGGGATTTTTACAAAACAGTAAAACTTGACCAAATGGTCGATCGATCAAGGTTTTGGCTATGGATAGTATGCAAATTGAGCCTGGACATCAGTTGAGAACAGAAACTGATGAAGTCAAAGACGATCAGTTGATCATACACCCTGATTCTAAACATAACTGAGTTGATATAGTAAGAGCAAGAGAGTGCCATATCCAGAAATTGCATTACGGATATCTATAATCATAAAGAAGAAGAAGAAGAAAAAGTAAGTGTTACTTGGTGCAAAAGATACAACATAACTGAGAATATTTGTCCACAAAGACATGGTAGAAAGATTACCAGGAAATAAATTATCCAAAATAGCATGAATGTTAAATTAAAGTGGTGGCAGCAGCTAGAGGAAACCCTAGCTAAAATTGTGTAAAGGCGCTCGTTTTGCAAGAGCTGGTTTAGTTTAGACCAGCTATGGATAATGAGAAGTAACACTCATGAAACTCCACAGGATGTCCGTATATTTATGGAAATTTATTATATTGAAACAGAGCATCTAAAAGCATTAAAAATTAAGTGGATATGACCTATGTCCGAGCCCTTTATTTACTATATCTGCTCTTCCGATCCTACCATTTTTCTCTTAATAAGAAAATTAAAGAAAGCAATAAGAAGAAAATCTATGTACGAAGAGATGAACTCCTTCCTACATCAGATAGATTGAACAGGCCTTTTGACTATCAAAAATAGGCCAACTAGCCCGAGTCCTGAACCACTGCAATGGACAGACTGCAAGATCCTCAAGCCAGGAGAACCTTCATGAATTTTGTCATCATCCAATTGTTCTCAAATGGGTCCATTCAACGAACTTGATTGCTAACAAGAGTCTGCTCAGTAAGTATAATGTTTAGGGACAAAGGTGTTCCATGTATCTGAAATGCATGCTCCTAAAAAGAAAACAAAAAGTTGCTACTGGTGATCTGCTCTCACTTAATATCTTTTAGCTAGCAAGAAAACACCATAAAAATATGATGTTTACCACTTACTCAAACTACAATATTAGCTACATGTGGCTGTGGCTAGTACGATTATAAAATTATAATTAAACAAATGACTCCAGCAATAATTAATTTAGAAAAATATTTACCGAAAAAAATAATTAATCTAGAAAACTGGTTGCTGACTTCGACTTTCTACACCAAAAAAAACCATTCACCAGATACGGAAGTCAACTAGACTGCCAACCATGCTTCCCACTGTTCCTTAATTCTTTCGTTTGGCAAAACTTTGTAAAACTAAATAATTAAAAAGCAAAATAATAATAATTATTATAATACAAGTACAATTTGCAGACTATAATGTAGCAGTCAAAACCACAATTTGCAGGTATTCCTAGCACTATATAATTAATACATTTTTTTAAAGCATTGAATATAAAACACCAACTACTCTGCCTCACCAATTTGTAAACTTTGTGCTTAAAGGTACAACTATAGCTCCACCAATATTAAAATCATACAAAAGATAAGTGCAAGGGTGCAATTTATCTCCAGATTTAAATAACACGGTAACACCTACAGAAATTGCATGTATGGAGCTATGCAATATAAGATCCCTAGTAAACTGAATTATTGAATATGCATTTTGGGTCTTCCCTCCCTAGGATCATGCCATGATCAGAACTGAGTAATGCCCTTTTTTCTTCCGTTTGTTTTCCTTTTTTTAATCTGAGATGCTTTACATAGCAATATAGTGATTTACTTGGCCAAATCTTATCTAGACAAGTACATCAATAATGTCACAAAACAAAGGAATGCTTTGCAAATGCACAATATCATAAAAATAAATCCAAAATTATTATTGCAGGATTTTCTAAAGTTCGGAAATGGTTTATTAAATCAAATTGCTCAGATAAGTGATGGTTTATTAAATCAAATTACTCAGATAAGTGGTGCAAGTAACACATTATTAAATAATACAATCACCAAACAGAATAATGTGATCCAGTGTGTGTAACTTTTGTAAGGACAAATTGAAACCATAAAGTAGTGCATTATAAATTTAAGAATGAAGAAATTTATGATATGTAATGATAACAATTCGAGATCAGATGAGTATCCAAACTAAATATTTTCAGTGTTTAGGATTAAATAATACAAAATGGGAAATGATGATGCAATAAGTAGGATTGCAACAAGTTGGGCAAAGGGGAGACAAGCAAGTCTTATCTTATCTGATAGGAAAATATCAAGTTAAAAGCGAGATTTTACAAGAAAATATTAGACCAGTTATCTCATACTGAGAAGAATGCTGGGCATTTTTTTTTTTTCGGAAATTCAAGCAATTTATTAATGAAAGTAACCTGTATGGAGGAAGGCTAAATAGCCAGAAAAACTGGGACAATATGAAATTGGCCCAACTCAGCATAAGCTGTAAAATACAAACATAGGACATATGGCCCATATGTTAGCAAAAGATCAGGTCTGACATCTATTAATGAAAAAAGAAGAGAAAAAAGGTTTAAATCGCAGTCATATACAACATAGGTAATAACATGCACAAGTAAGAAAAAGAACACTAGCTAAAATAGATGGTACAAGACAAAGAGGAAGACCAAAATTAACTTGGTACAAAGTTATAAAAGACAATGTAAGAAACTAAATATTGTAACGGAAATATAAGAGTTCATGTGGTCAACCCCATTTTGGTGAAATCAAGACAAGGATGATGGTGAGGAAAGTAGCGAATGATAAAGCGAATTTATTTATCAAAGTCATTAAACGCAATACAAAAAAAAAACAAAAAACAAAAAAAAATAAAAAATAAAAAATAAAATAAAAAAACCCGACATATGGTGCAAAAAATAGCAGATATTGTCAAGAAACAATAGGAATCCTTAAAATTATCTAATTAAAGGTATAGTTTTTGCTTCTCTGGTTACCCCCATTTCCTTCAAGCACAAAATTACAAGAACATAAGCATAGTCAATATAAGTTTCACATTTGAGAGATACCATTTGATTTATTAATGATTTTCATTAAATCAACAAGTCACATTGTCATTCATGGAAATGAACAAGATTACAACATAAAATAAATAAATAAATCACACATGAAGCACAATTTTAGATTCCACGTCAAAATTTTCAAAGAAATGTACATTGCATTAATAAACACGTACAAAAACATACTATAAGAGCATGAGCAAGGGAAGACTAGTTGTTGAAGGCAGAACCGGAAAAAAGAAGAGGTTTTTCGCGCAGCTAATCAAGCATCCAAAAACGAAATGAAAAGTGCTTTCTTAATTCATTTAAATAATGTCTTCAACTATTGCATGCATGGAGCTATGCAAATAAGATCCCTAGTAAACTGAATTATGCTTTTCGGGTCCTCCCTCCCTAGGAACATGCCATGATCAGAACGGACTAATGCACTTTTTTCTTCCAATTTTTTATTTATTTTTAGTTAGTTTTTTTCTAATCTGAGATGCTTTACATAGCAACTTACTCGGCCAAATCTTATATCTAGCCAAGGACATCAACAATGTTGCAAAATGAATAAATTCTTTATAGATAAACACTCATAAAAAATACCAAATTTAGTACCATAGGATTTTTTAAAGTTCAGAAGTGGTTTTATTAAATCACAATGATCAGACAAGTGGTACAAGTAACACTAATATTAAATAAAACAATCACCAAACATAGTATATGATAAGAATTCAAGAACAGAGGAATATTCAAACAAATTATTTTTGGTGGATTAATAATACAAAATGGGTAATGGTGATGCTATAAGTAGGATTGCAACAGGTTGGACAAAGGTGAGACAAACTGGTCTCATCTTATCTGATAAGAAAATATCAAGTAGTTTTTTGCGAGATTCTACAAGAAAAGTTAGACCAGATATCTTATACTGAGAAGAAAGCTAGGCCTTAAAAGAGAAGTGAGAACAACTTATTTATGTTGATGAAATGAGAATGTTTCGATGGATGATAGCAGTAACTTGAAGATATAAGGTTAGTACTCAAATGTTAGCAGAAGATTAGGTGTGACATCTTTTAATGAAAAAGGAAGAGAGAGAAGTTTTAAACAGTAAGTTCATATACAACATATGTAATAACATGCACTAATAAAGAAAGAACACCAGCTAAAGCAGATAGTACAAGGCAAAGAGGATATTTCATATTGCTTTCATAAGCAATGAAAATCTTGATTACACAAGTATTTAACCTTTTATCTATGTTTGATACTCCAATATGAAGTCGAACATTACCAACACGCCAGTGATCTAGCGGTACCAGACCCCTACTTCTCAAAGGAAGGTCAAGGTTCGAGCCTTAGTAGAGGCATGTGTGTGTGAGTGCCAACAAAGGGAAAAAAAAAAAAAAAAAAAATGAAGTCGAACAACAAAGGGTTTAGTGACATGTCTGCTACGAAGATTTAAGCATATTATAGTATATTCTTGTAATTTTAATATAAATAGAGGAATGCAAAGTGATGACTTGCTTACCAACTTCACAAGGTGTGCACTTTTAAATGTAGCTTTCTCATCAACCTCAAAGGCAATGCCCCTATTTTGTACATACCAATAGCATAATAGGAAGTAAGCTACCTCAACATTGGAAGAAAAAAATATTAACATGAAAAGATGTTACTTTTGTATGATTATCAACTCAGCCATTACAAGGAAAATAACTAGTTAATCCATAAATCAGGACTCTAATTAGGATCATTAGGTATGTTTTACTTCTTGGGAAAAAAGTGTATATTTGAACACAAATCTAGATCCAAAAGACGGACCATTGTGATCCATAAACCATTAGACTCTTTTGAGAAAGGAATTTTTTTGAGTCCTTTTCTTTTGTTTCTTTCTTTTTGTTTCTTTCATATTTATTTATTTATTTTTAAGATTAAGTCTCAAATGGACAGTGCTTAACCCTGTTAGTTTCTTTTGTATTTATGGGTTGCCCAAATAGCTTAGTTTGGAACAATATTTATTGCCTTCTCAACCAAAAATAAAATAAAATAAAAGAAGAAAAAGTAAAGAGGCATAGTTAAAATTGAGTAAGTCTTGAGTCCATCTAAAACAAACTAGTTTATGATCTTAATTAACCAAACTATGTTCACTTCCTATCAAAATGCAAAAATAAGCTAGATTGTAGCAACAAATAAGATCATATACCATAAAACAAACATACAGAAAGACCCACCATTAGAATTTGCAACAATAAGGCTCACAATCAAAATGGGCAAATAATACTTAACTAGGGGGAAAAAAAAGAAACAAACGGGAAAAAAATTACTACACTAAAATGTAGACTAACAAGAAGAAAGAATGAAAATTTTATTGAATTTTGTGAGGAAGAACAAATTGAATTTCCAAATACAACTCTTCATATATTAGTGGTAGGGACACTTATCAAAAAATATATATATTAGTGGTAGGGACACTCGTAAAGGAGTCCCGTAGCTGAAACAAAGTAAGCATTATGCTAATTAAACAATTCTAATTAGTTATCACAATTAGAATGTCTCGTGTAATAATTAGTATCTTATTATATTTCATCCAAATCACAACACAACTACACAATCTTTTAATCAACCTCAGTTCATATATTAATTAGTATCAAATAATTCTTATAAATTCACCTCTTACCATAACAAGTCTCGTGAAACGATTTATCTCATTAATTATTATATTAGACTTCTAAAACCATACAGTTCTTTCCTCAACAACAAACCATTAACTAGTCAATTATTAGGTTTCTAAACAAGTTATGTCAACTTTCTTAAACTTAATAAATCTGTTAGTCAACCATCTTGATTAATTTTTATTAAATTTTCACTTATTAAAGACAAGCCCTGGACCAAACTCCAATAAAATCGAAGTGGCTCACCCACAAAGCCATGAGTACTAGAAAATATACTTACAACATGTTGCAGGGTTTGTAGGCCTACTCACACAAATGGTTCTGGACAATGCCAATATGGCATATCAACCCAAATGACCATACAACAATATCATTATCGTGGGATCATACACTCCCAAGGTAGGTCCTGGACCATAGTAATCATTGTAAGATCAGTCTCGAACTTCCACTATATCCTCAAGAGTGAGAACACATTGTCACTATTCCAAGTGGTTTAGACTAAATTTAAGGAGATCATAAGATGCACCTCCACCTCTTAGATAGCCGTACATAATGTCAATTATCTGTATATTAATTTCAATTTCCATATATGTTAAGCACAATAGTTAGGCGTCTGCAACTTCCTACTCAAAATGTGAGTTGTAATGTATCAATGGGTCTTGAGTTGTTCAAGTACATCCATTGTAGACGAGGAATACACAAAATTTCGAAGAACACACTGGAAATTCCTCAATTCTCAACCACATATCTAGGTTAAGTTGAGACCTCAGAGACCAATTTATAACCTAGGTATGATCTCTAGAAGGCTGAAAATTTTGTTGTAATGGCCAATCGATCAAGATTTGGGCAATGTATAGTATGCAAATTGAGCCTGGACATCAGTTGAGAGAATAAACTAATGGAGTCAAAGACGATCAGTCGACCAAAATCCAGAAATTGCATTACGTTTACCTATAAATCATAATGAAGAAAAAAGTGAATGTTACTTGATGCAAAAGATATAACACAACTGAGAATATTTGTCCACAAAGCCAAGCTAGAAAGATTACCGGCAAATGAATTGTCAAAAACAATTGAAGTGTTGAATTAAAATTGTGTAAGGATGCTCTATGTTCAAGAGCTGGTTTATTTTAGACCAGCTATAAATAATGAGAAGTAACACTGTTAAACTCCTTGAATGTCTAGAGGCCCTATTTGGCCTTGTGTAGTTCTCTTGGGATGCGCTCCCCTTTTGAGTGCTTTTATACAATTTTACTTATCAAAAAAAAAAACACTGTTAAACTCCACAGGTTGTCCGTATAGTTATGGAAATTTATTCTATTGAAACAGAACATCTAAATTAATTAAAAAATAAGTGGATACAACCTATGTCTGAGCCCTTTATTTACTATATCCACTCTTTCTACCATTTTTGTCTTAATAAGAAAATCAAAGAAAGTAATAGGAAGAAAATATAAGAATCAGTAAATGTAATGTTTAGGCATAAATGTGTTCCATGTATCTGAAACACATGCTCCCTAAAGGAAAATTTAACAGTGACGAAATATGACAATATAATGATAACAATTCAAGAACAGAGGAATATCCAAACAAATTATTTTCAGTGAGTCAGATTAATAATACAAAATGGGAAATGGTGATGCAATAAGTATGATTGCAACAGGTTGGGCAAAGGGGAGACAAGCTAGTCTTATCTTATCTGATAAGAAAATATCAAGTAGGTTAATAGTGAGGTCTACGAGAAATTATTAGACGAGTTATCCTATATTGAGAAGAATGTTGGACATTGAAAAAGAAGTAAGGAATTTTATGTTGATGAAATTAGAATGTTGAGATAGGTGATAATGGTAAGTAGAGGATATAAGATTAGTAATCAACATGTTAGCAAAAGATTAGGTGGGACATTTATAAGTGAAAAAAGAAGAGAACGAAAGTTTAAATAGTCCTATACAACATAGGTAATAACATGCACTAGTAAAGAAAAAAGAACACTAGCCAAAATTGATGGTACAAGGCAAAGAGGAAGATCACAATTAACTTGGAATGAAGTTATAAAAGACAATGTAAAAAACTAAATATGATAAGACAAATGACTTATAACATAAAAGAATGAAAAAACAAGAATTCATGTGCTTGACCCCATTGTGGTGAAATAAAGGCAAGGATGATGATGATGATGATGAAAGTACAGAATGATAAAACGACTTTATTTATCAAAGTCAATTAACACAATAAAAAAACCCCACATCTGATGCAAAAATCTGAGTAGATATATGTCAAAAACCAGAGCATGTACCTGTATAGGGATCCTTAAAATTCTCAAATTAAAGGTCTAGTTTTAGCTTCTCTGGTTACATCCATTTCCTTCAAGCACAAAATTACAAGAACATAAGCAGAGTCAGTATCAAATGATACCATTTGGTTTATTAATGATTTTCATTATATCAACGAGTCCCAATGTCATTCATGGAAATGAACAATGTTACAACATAAGATAAATAAATAAATCACACATGAAGGGCATTTTAGATATCACGTCAAAAATTTCAAAGAAATGTCCATTGAATTAGTAAGTACTGCATACCATAAGAGACTGATCAAGAATACAGAAATGAATATAATACTGCTTTCTTAATTCATTTAAATTCTAAAATTTCACCCCAAAGCAACTGTCATATAGGTATTATATGAATTTATGGGCATTCAATGTTGTACCATATGCTAAGCTGGTAAAATGTTTGCATGGTAAAAGGGAAACAAAAAGGGAAAAATGTCGGCTTTGCTTAAGAGTAAAGCTTTTGTAGGATGCCCAAAGAAACACACATGCATAGCACATAAGCAACAACACATTTGTTAATTTAACAAAAAAAAAAAAAAAACAACAACAACAACACATTTGTTATGGATGAAAGCAACATGACTCCCAAGGGAAGATATACCATCAGATGACATCAAATGGCAATAGTTATTAGTGCCTTTACGACATAAGAAACCTTGATCAGAAATTGCATATTGTCATGTTTATTCCGCAGATGTACCAGTGTGTCTGCATTCTAAAGGCAAGTAGATGAAATTTTACTATTTTTCATTGTTCTTTGTGGAAACTAAGAATCGTCATATACCAATTATGTCATAGAGAATAAAAATTTTGGCAGGAAGGAAAAGGACTTCTAAAATAGAAGACATCCCAACATAGTTTTCTATCAACTTGAAGAGTGGTAACAATGTATTCATAAGGAACTGTAACATCAATCATCATCATCATCACTATTTTGATAGAATTCATTTTTTTTTTTGAAATCTGATAGGATTGCTAATTTTTGACAAAAATGTGGTCAGAAACAACAGTTCCTTCCTACTAGTTTACACAATTCTATAGATAGAGGTTAAAGGAGAAAAGAAACCTAAATTCATGCAGCAGATCATGAAAACTTTGCAAATGAGAATTCAAACGATATCTGACATTTTACTTAAGGGATGTGTCGATGGCGTGGTTTGTAGTGGACCATTGCTTGAATGTGCAACAATTGTTAATTTATATATGGAAGTCTCCCTCCTTATGCTCAGTTTGATCTACGAATTTTGTGAGGAAGAAGAAGAGTAATGCAGGGGAAACTATATTGCCTTGTTCGGTTACCAAAGAAAAAAATGGGGAATGAAATTATGATGGAAGTAAGGGAAAAGGCCTAATTTAATTTGATCTCCCGTTCTTCTTCCTTGTTCTCAACCGTGTTATAGAAATTTTAAATTTCTAATCTCATTTAAGATCAATAAGAGAGCATATGAGGGAGATCATAGTTAATTTAAGTTATTGTTTTTATTTCTTTTTCTTTTCCTTGCCCTTTTCCCTCCCTAAACGAAAAAGAAATTCCATTACTTACAAAATCAATTCAGCATTGTGTGATAATTCACATGGTGGAATGCAAATAGGAAATTGTTCTGCAACCCAAGAATTTTGTTGATCAATCGTTTGCATCACATACAAATCAGTATAAGACGATCATGTAAGTTAAAGATGCAGAAATGATTTGGTCCAACTAATTCAAAGTTCAAACAAGCAACACGAGCACTTATTACCTATGAAGGGACAATGCTATGCTGGATCTGAGCTACAACAACAAATGGAAACTGTAGTCATGGAACCCTTTGCAAGTGATACTAACAGCACATTACAAAATTAACAATTCATCAAACATCGTAGATGCATGATGGATTATACTTAATTTTCTGTAATAGTGGTACCATGGAAGTAAGGGAAAACGCCTAATTTAATTTTGATCTCCCTTTCTTTTTCCTTGCAAGTAAAACTAACAACAAAACACAAAATTAACAATTCATCAAACACCGTGGATGCATGATGTAGCATAACAGCATGTAAAATTACTTACATCTGGTCCTCTCCAGCTAGCTTCTCCTCCGGTGGTACGGAGGGAACTACCTTGCTGCCTTTTTGCCATTTCAGTAGACGCCCGACTATGGAAGTACCCATAGTGTACAAATGGTTTACAAAAAGCTGAGACATAGATAAACTGGGTATACGCCTTATCAGAACATGGTTAACGGCGGTTAAAGACGAAAATTGCAAGCAGAGGAAGAAGAAAGATGGCCCAGTGAATTAGTTTAAGGTAGAGTGGGGAAGGTATGGTGATGGCGAAAATTAAGGCCGCGACCCCAAAGAAGACACCCACACGCTCTACCACCTGGGCTAGGTCTAGATTTGGGGATTTGGGAATCATGTAGTTTGAGACAAAGAGCAGAGTGACTGCAACGACGATGGTGAGAGAGAGGAAGTAGAAGCTCAAAGGGATTGGGGCGGGACTTTGGAGCCAGTTAACTGCAACTGCAACTGCCAACGCAAAGCAAAATCCGATTACTTTCGCTGGAAACTCAGCAACATTGTTGTCATTATTACCATTATTATGTGGAGCAACGGGATTAGGATCTGGTTCGAGTTTTTGGTGGTGTTGAATTTGTTGATTCTCTTCTACTACAGACTTTTCAAGATCTGGAACGTCGATGGCTTGTTGGTGGTGCTGAGCAGTATCAACTGCTACCGGCGTTGTAGGGTTTGAAGCAGAAGGAGATTGTGAAGACTGCGAAGGGTTTGGGGGAACGAACAGTAGGAGTGTTACGAAGAAACGATGGATTGCAAGAAACAACGCCATTTTCTTGAATCCTGATTTTTTATTGTAATGTGACATTGTGACCGTATGTATTTATAGACGAAATTAAAATGGCGGGTGTTTTAACCCTTTGCTGCATGCAACGGTTCTCGGTTATCCGTGTAATGCTGGAATATGTTGTTATACAGTCGCCGACATTATATATATGTATATTGTAATGTGAATGACATGAATCTTTGGGTTGGTGACCCCATAAATAGAATGCCGCGATACTATGTGAGACCAAAATGATTTGACTTAAATTTTTTTTTTTGAGGTATTTTATAATATGTGTTGTAAAAAAATTTATAAATTGTACTGTAATTTATTTAGGATGTTCTATAATTCTATCTACCCTATCACACGCGCGCACACACTCTCTCTATCTATTAGAGGTGCACAAAAGAATCGGAATCGTGGAACCGGAACTGTTTTTTCCGGTTCTCACGGTTCTGGTTCCGGTTCCGGTTTCGAATTTAAGAACCGTGGATATACGGTTTCGGTTCCGGTTCCAGCCCGTGGGAACCGGTAAGAACCGGAACCGTATATATATATCTTATATGTATTATATATATAATTTTATACTTAAAAAACGAAGTAAAGACTAAAGAAAAGTCGCTGGACCTGAAAAAAAACATATTCTTTTTAGTTTTTTTGCCCTAAATGTCTCTCTTTCTCAGTCCTCGTCAGTCACCTCCTCTGATTCCTCTCAAATTCTCAATATCTCATGATCTCATCTTAGGGTTTGACGAAGTGACGAATGCCCAAGCTGATATGCTCTCGGTGGTTCCGTGACTTCCATCTCTGTTTGCCGAGAGTTGACCGACGCCGGCATGTTGGTCATTTTAGGACATCATTATCGATGCTCCTAATCTCCCCGACTACATCTCCAACCTTCTCGATGAGTGCTTAGCTTGCATATTCCAGTCGCTTGGCTCCGGTGATCAGAAACGATGCTCTCTCGTTTGTCGCCAGTGGTTTCAAATCGAGGGACAGAGCCGTTACCGTCTCTCTCTCAACGCCTAAGCCGATCCGCTCTCGGTGGTTCCGTCTCTGTTTTCGAGGTTCGATGCGGTGACTAAACTCGCTCTGATCTGAAATGCGATCGCAGAGTGAGCATCGGCGACGAAGCTCTCAAGCTCATCTCTTTCCGATGTTGAAACCTAACCCGTCGTCCCGTCTGAAGCTTCGTGCTTAACTGCTTGCCGAGAGTTAACGGTTCCATGGGAACCGAACCGGAACCATAGAGTTTCTACTGTTCGGTTCCATACTATACGGTTCCGGTCTCGGTTCCATTTTTAAGGAACCGTTGTGAATGGTTCCGGTTCCGGTTCCGACCGGAACCGTGAGAACCGGAACCGTGTGCACCCCTACTCTCTATTTTTTACTTTAATTTATAAATATTAAAAACATAATTATATATATATTTTTTGTCAACTCACACACCACTCATAATTACACAGATTGATAAAGTTGAAAATCTTTGATGAATATTATTTGCAAAACAATATGTTAAAAGAAAGGAAAAATAGGTAATTAGTATATAAAAGTATATTACTAATATCCACCCAAATCTACGACAATAATTAATAGTCAATGATAGCAAAAATTTAATTGTTCTAGTTATATTGATGACATGTTATTACCAACTTATTAAGTATCGTCATATGGTGATATGACTCACTAAAGTAGAATATTTTTTTTATGTGATAAGAAAAAATTAGTTAATGGCACAAATAATAAAGTATTAAAGGCGCAAACAATCCTTTCTCAACAAAGACGAGGACATTGACCCCATAAAATTGTGAAAGAAAAAAATAAAATCCTAAAAGGAGGCAACCTACTAACATAGCCTGAGCAAAGGGTAAAATTGTTTATCTTATGTGTGAAACTCACGTGGGGGCTTACGATTTAATTCAATAAATAAATAAATAAAGGATTTAGTTTATGCCCTTCGTGGCCTTGAAAAAGAACCTTAATTTAAAATCTTTTATCGTAATTGTGAAACTCACATTTTGAAAGAGATGGTAAAAAAATTCTAAATGTAACCGTTCTTATAAATTACTCTTCTCATTTTATATACATGAGATTATAAATCTTTTTTACTTTACATACAGTCTTTATAGATTTTTTTAATTTTTTTTTATATGTAAAAAATGTATAATTGTGACGTCTCGAATCCCGTGATCCGGTGCATCAACCAAAAGAGACCAAGCAGAATAAAACCCGACTCGATATCGAGTTCGAAATGCTGAAGCAAAAACAAAGGAAGAGGTCCCTAGGGTTAAACACCACCTATGGGACAACAAGAGGACCTCATATGAAATCACAAGACTTAATTCAAAGGAAAACGCTGAAACTAAGGTCAAAACGGACAACATAGGGAATTAAGGGTAAAATGGAGGAGAATTTTAAACAAGTCATATGAAGTGTACTCAATCCAATATAATCATTTCATAATATCCCTAGAGTTCTAAGGCCTTTAGTCATGGTTTCCCACAATTACACCCTCTCGGTCAAGTGATTTCGTAATAATGTCCCACTAAAACGTATATATATCTTCGTAAGATTTGAATCTAACAATGGGACTGGTACCATTAAAAGCTAACTTAAAATCCTTGAATTTAGACTTGAGATTGACCTAATTTGGATTTAAAATGAGCAAGATATGGCTGTTACAAGATCAGGTGAAAATTCTGTACAGCGCATGAACAGTAGCTGCAGCTAAATGCACATTCTGTCCAAAAATTGAAAGTAGGCTTTCAAAAATGTTTCCCAAGGTCCCGTTCGAATATGCGGTCTCCAAATACACCCAAATGACCCTGGAATGGTCGGTTTGGTTGTAGAAAAAAAAATGGATAAATAGTAATTGTGACCAAAATTGCAAAAGAGAAAACCCAATTTTCGGTATATTGCTCCCCCTTACCCAAAAATGATCCCTAAGGCCTCTAAGGTCAATCCCTAGTGAAGTGAAGTATGGAATTAGATGAATACATACATGGGTACATTAAAGTAGCAAAAGTAAACATTAAAATAATTGGCCTTGGCCTCATTACAATTCATTGAATAAATCTCAAGATACAAAATGCTTAAAGAGGTTACATTCATATTTAAATGTACATTACACTTTAATGATAATCAATACATAAGGATAGTCACAAATGGAAATAATAGGAATACATCCAAGCAAAATGAAGTCACGTCCATGTAAAACAAACCTTGTCTTGAAAAATGTTTGTCAACAAGTAGGAGTAATTTAAATTACTTGGTAGGAAAATGCATTATGTAACTAAACTAGATTCTTTGGCTTTACAAATGAAGCATAGGCCATAAACATACGAGACATGCCTCTTAACATCTAGTTCAAGGAAAATTCTAAGGTAACAACCTAGAACTAGCAATTGAATCAAAATACGACAATTCTATAAACTAATATGAAATAACGCAACGAAATCGAAATACCTCAAGTCACAACTATACATGAATTGTTAATTTGGAAACCAAATGCAATATCACATAATAGGGATAACTTGGACTCACACACACCCCCGATCACATGTATACTATATACACCAAAAAAATAGTTATTCCAGAATAAGATCGCTGGGAAACAATAGTAATATATTTCAGGCATCAACCCGCAGGGAACCACCGAGTGGTCACTATACAAATTGGGAGCTCGAACTTACCCGTGAGAGCCAAACACTCACATTCTCAAAGAAACAATTGTCCTAAGTATCTCCCCAAAGTCGTTAAACGAATCCACAATGTATTACATACATATATAATTATATCAAACACTTCACAAGCGCACCAAAATCTCAATGCTCAAACATTAGATATCCTAGAGTCACAAATGCTACCATAACATTTATTCCGATACAAATGACATCAATATGATAATTCTAATCATAGCTAGCACAAGATATCACAAATTAAACATTTCCTTCATTTTACTTCATAACAAGAAACCAAATGATAGTATAACCATGTTGTCATATTAAAGCTTACTTCAATAACCATATAAGCACCAAAATCATATAAACATTATACTCAAGTAAACCAACACATATATCTCTTAACAATATAAAATGACATTCTTAACAAAGGCATGTTTAATCTCAACATACAAGAAATAAGTATCTCCAATCAAATTCACAATCCCAAAACAAGTATATCATGATCGCCCAAATAATACTATGTATATATGCATTATGTGAGTATATAAATCAAATAGCAAATCCATGGCATACATAATATCAACATTAACAAGCTACTCATTAACTACCATGCATCCTAATCACTCCATCTCACAATACACATATATAACACACACAACACCCCGAAATACAAAGAACATGGTAGGTTAAAGCCATACAACACCCCCTACCTCACTCTAGGAGGGCAACCTAGAGAATCCAAAAAAAAAAAATGTCCAAAGCCAAATCCATGACAAGGGTTTTGTTTCCAAAGGAGTCCCTAAGTTTTTTCCCTTCTATGGTGTGATCAAAAAGTGAAAGAAATGTGATAGAAATCAAGGTCCAAGGTGGAGCTTCCATGGAGGTAGAGAGAGAAAATGCGGAAGAAGATAAAAATTTGGAGAAAAAAGGACATAATATAAATGATATATATCACAAAAACCAACCCTAGCATTATCTCTCTCACACACTATCATCAAAGCCCTCCACTTATCATCATTTTAACCCTCCATATAAAACACACATCAACCACACACTTGGCACCATCCAAGCCCTACACGTCACCAATCCCCTTTAAACACATGATCTAATGAAAATAAGACACTTGTCCCAACTTTTCCTTAATTATACAAAAGTCTCTCCAAGAAATATCTCCAAAAGTTAATCGCACTAATGCCCCAAAATAAAAATATCTCCAAAACATAATCAAATAAATACCTCCACAAAATATAAATCAAAATGCACACAATGTTACGCCATCCCGTAATGCTATAAAGGCAAAATGTACTAGAATGAATGAATGAAGTGTCGGGAACCATTTTCGAACATTTGACCTTATCTTGGGCTCACACGGCCTGAAAAAAGAAAAGAAATAATATAATAATAATAAAAACATAGTCGAAAAAGAAAAAGATGA